TTGTTACACTTTTGAGGATAGTAAGCTTAACTATCCCCAAAAGTTTAGCAGACCTTTTCGGGCCTGCTAAAAATTTAGCAGAAATCTGTCAGTTGACGTTTCAGGGGCTGGGGATTTAGGTCAGCGGCACAGCGCCTGCCTGGCAAGCGCAACGTCGTGAGTTCGATTCCCGGTACCGTACAGGGAAAAAAACAAAAAAAAACAAAAAAAAAAAACTGACGTTTCGGAGTATCTGCATTAAAATTGGCCTAATTTGCAGGAGACTAAGCCGTCACCAGCGTCTCAGCCCCCAGATGTTCCTGGCTGTCACTGCTCACCTCCCCTGCAGGCACCACCTGGCTCGGGGCCTCTCTGCTGCAGTCTCCTCATCTGCACTTTGCCCTCTCCCACCCCTGCTCCAGCTGCTAATCCTTAAAAAGGATACTAGCTCCCGATCACTCAGGATAAAACACAGACCCCCACAAGCCCGCACAACCGCCCTGCCCACCAGGCCTCGAGCCTTCGCTCTGGATCTGCCTCAAAGGATGGAGGCCCTGCTCCAGCCTCTGTCCCCTTTGTGTCTCTCTTCTTGCCTGTTCTGGCACCAGTGAAAATGCTGCTCCTGAGGGTGCTCCTCAGCCTCAGCCTCAGGGGTGAGGACCTTCCTGTCCTGCTCATCACTGGTCCCAGCACTAGAGCAGGATGGGCCAGGGGAGGCCCCACACCCTTCGGCTTTTGTTGCTGTTTAGAGTCAGGTTCTTACTATGTAACTCGGGTTGGCCTAGAAGTCGCTATGGAGCCCAAACTGGCCTAGAAGTCACTGTCTTCCTGCCTGTGCTCCCAAGTGCTGGGGTTACAAGTAACACCACCATGCCTGATTTATTTTATTTTATTTTATTTATTTTATTTCATTGTCTTGTGTGTGTGTGTGTGTGTGTGTGTGTGCGCGCGCACGCGTTTGAGACCGGGTCTGGCTATGCAGTTCAGACTGGCCTTGAGCGCACTTTGTAGCCCAGGCTGGCCTCAAACTCACAACGATCCTCCTGCCTCAGCCTCCCGAGTGCTGGAATTACAGGTGTGCGCCACCATGCCCGGCTTACTGATTTATTTTTAATACATGAACGCTTATGTTTCAACATAAAACTCGCAGGCCGCTTATTTGGGGCTGTCAAACCACCACATGGCTCCTCGCAGAGAAGACAGGTACCAGTAGTACTTTAAGGAAAAATTGAGAAGGACCCTTGGGACATGGATGCTTGCTTTATTGTCCCCGGAGCTCCTTGGAAGACCACCGGCACCCACCCACTCACACCTCCTGAAGCCTGAGAGTCGTGTGGGTAGGATGCCTCCCTCCTCCTGCACGCTGTCACTCTGCTTTTTTTTATGTTGGAGCTGGAGTGGCAGAGGGGAGAGGTAATTTGGGTCCCATTTATTCCCTCAGCCCAAAGACTTTTCTTGAGCTTGTGGTCTAGCACCGAAGTCAGCAAGTCACTGCTCCAGGTCACAGGATTTGCGTCCTGCTTTCTGAAAAAGGCACTTCTTTTTTTTGTTGTTTTTCTCTGGTACCAGGAACCGAACTCACGACCTTGCGCTTGCCAGGCAGGCACTTTGCCGCTGAGCTAAATCCCCAGCCCCTGGAAAAGGCACTTCTGCAGTTAAACGTGATACAAAGCGTGTGCCGGGAGCGAGCACCCAATAGACTAGGAAATGAAAGTGAACAAGCTGGGCTGG